CCATCTCAAAGTTCTCATCAACTTCTTCTTCTTCTTTCTCTTTACTACTACTATTACTACTACTACTGCTGCTATTATTATTATTATTATTATTGCTACTAATATTGTTGTTGTTGTTGTTGTTACTGTTGTTGTTGTTGTTGTTGTTGTTTATAATTGTTATTTATAACTTGTACAATAAACCTCCTTGTGGTTTGACCCCGGTCTTGCGGGGTTATTTATTACTTTGACACTCCTGCACTTAGGAGAAGACATCAATCTTTTGGTCATGTCAAGTTTTTGGTGCCGTTGTCGAGAAGGTAAGTTCCTATACAAATTATAATTTTTATTTTATTTTCTCTTTTAACTTTTCTTGTATATAACTTTGTTTCTTTTCTCTTGTTTCTTCTTCTTTTCTTTTCTTCTTCCTTTTATTCTATTCTTACACGTGCATAAGAGTGTGGTCATGTATATTAAGTGGTAGACTTTATAGGGTATCCTCATCATTTTCAGAAAATATGGCCGAAGAAGATAATCAATCACTTCATAATGAGAATAATAAGAATAACTATGCTACAACACTTAGAGACCACATGAATCCCACAAGAACAAGTGCACCATCATGCATAGTTTTTCCTCCTGATGCATCTCATTTTAATTTTAAACCAGGCATTATTCAACTTTTTGATGTATCTTATTTTAATTTTAAGCCCGACATTATTCAAATTTTACCTTCTTTTCATGACCTAGATTTAGAAAATCCATGTTTGCATTTAAGGGAATTTGAGGAGGTTTGTAACACCTATAATGACTCAAATTGTAGCATGAACACCATCAGATTAAAGCTTTTTCTTTTTTCATTAAAAGATAAAGCTAAAACATGGTTATAAAATTTGAGACTAGGATGCATTCATGCTTGGGATGAAATGCAACAACAATTTTTAAATAAGTTTTTTCCATCTCACATAACAAACTCTTTCAAAAGATAAATCACCATTTTCACTCAAAAACCAGGAGAAACATTTTATCAATGTTGGGATAGGTATTGAGACTTGCTGAATACTTGCCCTCATTATGGTTTTGAAACATGGAGATTGGTTTCACATTTTTATGAAGGGTTAACACCTAAAGATAGGCAAATGATTGAATTGAGGTGCAATGAAACTTTTGAAGATAAAGACCCTGATGAAGTAATGGAGTACTTAGACTTGTTAGCTGAAAATGCTCAAAATTTGAACACCGCGGGTACTTATGAGGCACCGAGTAAAACTCAACCTCATACATCTAGTGGAGGTATGTACAACCTTAGGGAAGATCATGACCTTCAAGCGAGGTTTGCATCTTTAGCTAGAAAAGTTGAGGCACTAGAATTGAAAAAGAGTGGTCAGTTAAAATCTGTTGAAAATATTATGTGTCAAATATGTGAAACAAATGAACACTCAACCAATAATTGTCATGCTGAAGATGTTAGAAATTCCTGTTCCACAGCATGATCAAGAAACGATAACAACTTATCATAATAATCATTTACATTTAACAGACCTATGGGTTTATGATGAATGTGCAGTTGGGCCCAAGAGGAAATATGAAAGATCTCTTGTAATGTGCCCATACCACTTGGTAAGGCAATCAAGGCATCAACATGGTTGAACATTGCATTCATTCGAGCAGACATTATGGAGACCTGTAGTTCCTCTCTAATTATTTTTCCAATGATATCCCCTTATGCTAAAGATTTGGAGACGACGCCCAAAACTTGACTACCTCCTAAAAATTTGTTATTGACACACCTCCCACTAACCTAAGACTGCCTTCTTTAAAAGAAGGCAAGGTTGGACAATTATTGGTTGAGTGTTCATTTGTTTCACAGATTTGACACACAATATTTTCAACAAATTTGAATTGACCACTCTTTTTCAATTCTAGTGCCTCGACTTTTCTAGCTAAAGATACAAACTTGGCTTGGAGGTCATGATCTTCCCTAAGGTTGTACATACCTCCACTAGATGTATGATGTTGAGTTTTACTCGGTGCCTCATAAGTACCCTCGGTGTCTCAATTTTGAGCATTTTCAGCTAAGTCTAAGTACTCCATTACTTCATTAGGGTCTTTATCTTCAAAAGTTTCATAGCATATCAATTCAATCATTTGCCTATCTCTAGGTGTTAACCCTTCATAAAAATACGAAATCAATCTCCATGTTTCAAAACCATGATGAGGGCAAGTATTAAGCAAGTCTCGATACCTATCCCAACATTGGTAAAATATTTCTCCTGGTTTTTGAGTGAAAGTAGTGATTTGTCTTTTGAAAGAGTTTGTTCTGTGAAATGGAAAAAACTTCTTTAAAAACTGTTGTTGCATTTCATCCAAAGCACGAATGGATCCTTGTTTTAAATTTTATAGTCATGTTTTAGCTTTATCTTTTAATGAAAAAGGAAAAAACTTTAATCGGATGGTATTCATGCTACAATTTGAGTCATTATAGGTGTTACAGACATCCTAAAATTCTCTTAAATGCAAATATGGATTTTCTAAATCTAAGCCATGAAAAGAAGGTAAAAGTTGAATAATGTCTGGCTTAAAATTAAAATGAGATGCATCAGGAGGAAAAACCATGCATGATGGTACACTTGTTCTTATGGGATTCATGTGGTCTCTAAGTGTTCTAGCATGATTATTCTCATTATAAAGTGATTGATTATCTTTTTCGGCCATATTTTCTTAAAATGATCAGGATACCCTACAAAGTTTGCCACTTCATGTACGTGACCACGCTCTCATGCATGTGTAGGAATAGAATAAAAAGAAAAAGAAAACAAAAGAAAAGGAAACAAAAGAAAAGAAACAAAGTTATATACAAGAAAAGTGACAAGAGAAAATAAAATAAATACTACAATTTGCACAAGAACTTACCTCCCCAGCAACGACATCAAAAACTTGACACGATTAAAAAATTGATGTCTTCTCCCAAGTGCAGGAGTGTCAAAGTAATAAATAACCCAGCAAGATCGAGGTTCAACCATAAGAAGGTTAATTGTTTAAATTATAGATGACAATAATATAACAATAATAACAATACCAACAACAACAACAACAACAACAATAATAATAATAGTACTAATAATAATAATAATAATAATACTAATAAAGAAAAAGAAGGAGAAGAATAATAAAAAGATGAGAACTTTGAGATGGAATATTAATGTAAGGATTAAACAATGATAATAACAAATGTCAAGGTTAGAGGTTTCACTAATATTATGTCAAACAAGTATAGTATAAACTCTTATTATTCAATTCGAAACCATACACAAAGGAGGTTCCAATCAGATTATAAATTGTTAACATGATCACATTAGTTATTTTATTTGATTAATGCTAATACTTGTAAATCTCGTCAGGCATTCATAATTATAACTTATGTTAACAACAAATCAAGTTCCTTTCATAACTAAGGTGTCAGTTATGTCATACAGTATTGGCTATGAAAGTGCCAAGTATTTATTGTACCAAGTGTTATACAACATAAATCTAGATTAGTCATTTAACAAACAAAGTATTAAATAGTGAACAAGATAACAAATATAAAATATGTTAGTATTAAACATTAAAGTCCATATTGAGTTTACATTATACTTATTCTTACACCATTAGTGTAACCTTTTCACCTTGACATAATAAACTTAGCTAAATATAATGAAAGAAATAAAAATAAATAAACAAAATAAGAACATAAATAAGGTAAAAGTTAACTAAGCAAATGAAAGGAAATGAAAGGCATAAACTTGATATTAATGAAAGCAAAGCATAAACATTACAAAAAATACAAAGAGAGAAAGCAAGAGCATGATCTTGATCTGGAAACCAAGATGCCTAAATGCATGGGAAATGCCTCTTTTTATAGGCCAAAATTGAAAACTATTGATTCGATGACTAATTGATGAGTGGGTGACCAACTCTTGATTTGGTGACAATCCTTATTTTTTCTTGTCTACCCAAAACATCATTGATAACGTCAAAATTGGAACCACTTGAAAACATAAAAGTTGTAGGAAATTGTCTTAGCTTTCATGTGTAAATAATTCATATCATTTGGACTTCTAGAACTCTAGATATGGGTTAAACACTGAACAATGCTCGAGCTGGAGGACAGATTCAGACTTCTTTGTTGTTGGTCCAATTTGAACTTGAAAACGGCCTTTTTAGATCTTGGGCTCCATATGAAAATTGTAGGCCTATATCTTACCTTTCCATCCATATAAAGTAGACCTAAATGTGAGATATACAACTCCAGATATAACCCAATTACCAAATAGTGTTCTGGTTTGGACTGCACCGGCATCTCTTTTCTAAGTTTGGCCATCTCTTTGTCCTTTCAATTTTAGTTTTTAAATTCATCAATCAATCCTTTTATTTATATGATAAGCCTGGATTTAAAATGAACATTTACCATAAATTAAAGGCATCTTATTTTATTAGATACGTTATTATAAAACATGCTTTAGTTAAAGAGTTTTTGATACTTCAAGTGCAAAATGATGATATAAAACCTTGATAAAAATGCACTTTTAAGTACTAATCAGTTGTTAACATAAGTTATAATCATGAATGCTTGACAACATTTACAAGTATTAGTATTATTTGAATAAGATAACTAATGTAATCATGTTAACAATTTATAATCCGATTGAGACCTTCTTTGCGTGTGGTTTCCAGTTGAATAATAATAGTTTATACTATACTTATTTGAAATACCATTAGTGGATCCTTTAATCTTGACATTTGTTTTTATTACTGTTTGATCTTTACATTGATCTTACATCTCAAAGTTCTCATCAACTTCTTCTTCTTCTTCTTTTTCTTTATTATTATTGTTGTTGTTGTTGTTGTTGTTGTTTATAATTTATACAATTAACCTTCTTATGGTTCAACTTTGGACTTGTCAGGTTATTTATTACTTCGATACTCCTACACTTGGGAGAAGATATCAATCTTTTAGTCGTGTCACCAACATTGTATGCCAAATATGACATAATGGTCAATAACATTATCGCAACTAGATAACATGTATGGGCCCTATCTCAAGGAATGATTTCTAAAGAGGATCAAAGTTGTGATGGATTGGGAAATTTAAGTAATGGAGACAAAAATCTCGAGGAAGGAAGTGGCGGTTCGAAGGAGGATGTTATTCCTGATTTTATGGAAGATGTTAATAGGATGGTGGCTGATTATAATGTTACAAATAACAGTAGCAACCATAGTAGTGGTAAAAGAAAAGCTATTAAAACCTCCATACCTCAACCTAAAAGAAAAAGGGATCTAAAATGGGAGCTAAATTATTCTCACATCTAGATCGACTTGTTGAGAGTGTTTTGATAGTTAATAATTATATTGTGACTTCAAGAAACGAGACAGGGTGTAGCATTAAGGAGGTAATGGTAGAGTTTTATTCAATACATGGTGTTGACTTTGAAAGTCCAATACACAACTTCACAACAAAATTCTTCTGTGCATGAAGCAAGAGGGAGATGTGGAAAGCAGTGGAAAATCTTGATAGAAAATACTTTTGGTTGAAAATAATGTATGAACGACAATCAGAACAGTAGAAAAAAAAGGTCAATTTCTATCTTTTCATTTGAGTTTCCTAATTTTACATACAATAATTTCTTAAGTGATGTTGTTATTTACAATTTTTTTAAATTATTATTTTTGTCTATTATTTATCTTATCTTTATTAAAGATGTTGTGTGAACCATATGTTAATAAGTTATATTTTTTTTAATAGTTTGTTAGAGAGGAAAACAATATTATTGTTGTTTACCACTGTGTTCTTAGAAGGATCGTAATGGCATGATAACTTCACATTGAATAAATCATGCTGTGAATTTTTTATTTTATGTTCTTTATATAGTTCTTAATAACCTGCTATTAAGTTCTCTAAAATGTGAACACAATGTCTTATATTAATATATTGTAATGATATTATAATGCTTTTATGTAGTAATTGTATTGATATTTGTTAGCCCTACTATAACTGCAAATTATCGGATGATCTAATTAAACAATGATGATTGTGTTAACATCATTTATGTTGAGAACAAGTCCCCAATTAAGTTGCAATTCATGTAAATTGTCATAATCTATTGAAATTAGTTTTATTTGTTTTGTGTTTTTAGGTTAATTTAATTCCGATAATACATTTCATAAGAAACTCAGGTTATGCTAGTATTTACAATTATATAGGCATTTCCACAAGGCACATTATATTGTAAAGATATGTCATCTAACACAGTGACATAGTTAATTAGAAACTCATTATCATCTTGTCATTTTTTAGTTAGTTTTGTTATCTTCATTCCATTGAAATCTTATTTCTTAGAAATAAATTATAAGTATACAGATATGTCAATCTCTTGTAATGTATATTATTTCACAATGTGTGAAACTTGAGAACAAACTATACAAAAACAAAAAGAGAATTTATAATAATTTAAATTTTTTTTATAATACAGAAATAATGTAAATAAAAAAATAATAATGATGATGATAAAATTTATTAGTTTTGGAAAAAAGGGCTTAATTAAGAAAAAGAGAGAAAGATGGGGCCAAAATGGAATTAAGAAGAAATAAGACTATAAATACCCCATTCCTTCTCTCTCTTATGGCCGACTGGATAACATCAAGAAGAGGGGGGACTTTCTGATTTGTTTCTTTATCAAACCTAAAAGTAAACACCTAAATTAGTATACCCACACAAGCGTTGGAACTATTAATTGGAGGAAACATATTTGGGTGGAGAATTAACAAGAAAAAAAGTGAAGAATTTGTGAAGAAAAGAGGGGGAAGAGTGGCCAGCAATTTGCAAGGAGAAAGAGGTTAAGATTCTTTTAAAGTTGTGAAGTAAAGTTTATATTTCATCCAAGTAAGGAGTTCTAATCCCAATTTTTATAAAATGAACTTCAATTTGATTAGAAGTTTCATAATTTTCTTAAATTGAGAATTAGGGTTCTTAAACATAAATTTCAGAAAAATGTAGAAATGATTGAAATTAAATGGATTAGAATAGTCTATGTGTCTTAAAGATTAAATGAGTGCATAAAAAAGAGAAAGGGAACCCTTGGTTCCCTTAGATATATTTCGGCCAAGAGCTAAACTAGGGAGGGAAGAGAAATTCTAGTGGATTAAGTAATTCTTGAAGCATAATTTAGTGATAGAAATGGTCTTGAATGTGGAGGGATGCAAGAAAAAAAAATAATAAAGAGAGAACAAATGTAAGAATAATAAAAAGATGAGAACTTTGAGAGAACAAATGCAGGGTGACTAGCCACTAGAGGAGAAGAGAAGAGTGGAGGAGAATTTATGATTGCTTAATTAATTAACTTGGTACAAATGACCTTGAGAGGTCATAATCAGATGGGTTACCATGTATAAGGTGAAAGCATAGTTGTATCTAATGAGGAAGTAAGATTGGAGATAAAATTGAAAATATTTGGCCAATGATGAAACAGGGCAAGTTCATCACCTTGATTCCTAAGGGAATTTGGCTATGAAGACGATAGAATCCAAGAGGGTCCCTTCATAAAAGTTGTATCAAAGAGTGTTAGCTTTCTAATGAATATGACCTCGCCTAATTTGGAGTCTTAGAACTTCAAATATGAATAAAAATCTGAAGTGGGATTGAGTTGTCGCTCTTTTAGCAGATTCAGCCAAGTCGATAAAATGATGAAATTTAGTCATATTAAGGATATAATTCATTTCTTTTGTCCTTCGTAAAGTGTGTAACATCATGTTTTGATCTTCAAAAAGAATAAATTGTGATCAAAATTGAATTCATAATATCCATTTGGGCTTTCAATGAGCTGAAAATGTTAAATGATAGCAATGATGAATATAGGTGAGAAAGAAAAGAATGGGAAAAGAGAAATTAATATTATTGCCGTTGTTGCTGCAATGTTGTGATATGTGGAAATATGGAATAATGATAGGTATTTGTGGTTTTAGGAGGAATTGCGGGAGGAGTGCAACAATAATATAGAAACGCAAGTCGAGCGTCTACAGGAGGTAGCTACTCTATACCTGTATCTCCTCTAGTTAATAATTATTTTAACTAACTATTGAACTATAAAAATTTGGTGCTTATTGATGAGGAAAAGAAAAAGGGAAGAGGAAAGGTTAAATGATGGAAAAATGGAAACAGAGAACTAGATTTAATTTATGGGTTCTTTTGGAGAAAATGAACAATAACAATGAATTTTGAGAATGACTATTTCTTGAATTTGATTAGCCTATCCCAGATACGGGAGACTAATGATGTTAGCCAAGTTGGTTAACATCGACATTATCAGTACATGGAAGGAGAAATATAAAATTTGATTAACTATTCGGGTTTAGAATAGTTAATGATATCAATGGGTGACGTCGATATCAATAAAATTTATGGACTTGATTAGTTTTCCGAGATGAAAACTAATGATGTCAAGAATTCTTGACATCGGCATAGCCAAGGACCTCCAAAGGTAACATAGAACATTGATTAACTATTTCAGTCCAAAAATAGTTAATTACACCAATGGTCACGTTAGTGTCAGCATTTTCATGAATTTGATTATTTGAACCTAGAACGGACAACTAAAGACACTAATGGAGGTCATTAGTGTCGGCAGTAGTCTTTCTAATGTGGGGAGAAGTAGTTAAAAGAAACAAATTGGATGATCCTTAAAAGGGGTTGGCAGTGGTGTATTGAATTGCATATGACTTAAGTAGGTAGATGTACTGTATAAATTTTCTTTCGTGAATTATTTGTATTTTAGTTATTTTTAATTATATGAAAAATTTATATGTTGCAGGTCCCTCACATTTACGTCAAGAGTAGAATTTAGGTTCCTTGATCTGTTTTTGTTTAAGTTAGGAACTTAGGGATTATTCATGTAATTTTGTTATGTAGTAAATATGTAACCTAAACACAACAATCTTTTCGTCGTGTCACTATGCTTGGAAAATTAGAATGTACTAGACGGAATAGTATTAAATGTATCAATCTATGCTTGGAAAATTAGAATGTACTAACTTATGTTTAGAATGTTAAACTGTGTTGTGCTTATATATGAAATTTCAGTGCTTGGATGATTCTCTTAATTACTAACTTATACATGTGATATGAGATGGAGGTTGAGTATAAAGATTTGTCCTGAGTATATTCTCGAATGAATTAAATAGTTTATTTGCACCAATTATGGATGTTATTATAGGTGGGATATGATTTTAAATGTGTGTAGGGTAAACTATTGATAACTTGAAACCTCCTGGTATAGGGGAGACTCTACCAAAATTTCTATATACTCAATGAAAAAACAAAAAAATATGCTCTATTTACCTTTATGTGGAAATTAAACGGATAAATTGATTCAACTTTTAAGGTTGTTACACAATAAGGTATCCCTTCTTTTCTACTATGGTTTTTAATTTGTTCAACCTGTTTTAGATTGATTTATTAGTCATAACTTCTTAACTGCTAGGTGTTTTGTTGTTTTCATTTTTTCATAATGGGGCTTGATTGTTTGATAGCTTTGAATATTAGGTAGCCATTTTGAATAACTAATACTCTAACTTATGGGTGGACATGTATAGCTTTGAATATTAGGTAGCCATTTTGAACAACTAATACTCAACTTATGGGTGGACATGTATGCATTTCTATATACATTCAAGTATTAGTGGTTATTGTAGTTTTATTTTCAAATATTTTTTTTTTTTATATTCAAACACATTGTTCTTAGAAGTTGTTTTAGTTCTCCTTTAAATGTAGTTAATTGTAATAATTATTTTAGCCATTGTTTGATTAAAAAAATGAGTTAAAAGTTACTATTATAACTATAATTGTTGTCTGTTACAAGGATAGTAATATATATACAAGTGAAGTAGTTGCCCTATTCTTTTAATGTTTCATTTGTTCACTAAACACCTAATAGGTGTTGCATTGATAATTAGCAGTTCTCGAATGTATCATTTGTACATAAACATTTAGCAAACTATTCATTTTATTCTAAAATCAATATAGTGTCCATATATAATTAAATTATTAAATGTTATATATTATATGAATTATTTTAAATTCAACTGTAATTTATGCTTATTACAAATATAATATTTTACGTGCCATTATAGATATGGATGCTTAATGGTTTGATGGGGATTACGATAGTATAATGAATAGTGTTGTCAATTATGTTAGCTATGGCGAAAGTGGTAACAATAATGATGGTGATGATGATAATAATGATGATGATGTTAATGATGATTCGTCTTTTTGGATAAAAGAGTTTGATCATTGTAAACTAATACTATACACAACTAGAGTGCTTGCATTGTACTATAATAATTATGTTTATAAGAAACAATATATGGTTTCGTACAATACCAGAATGCAATGGTTGAATGAAATTTTGCATAAACATTAAAGATGATGTGTGAACATATGTAGGATGGATACGAGAACATTTGAAAGTCTTTGCTTAGAATTAAAAAGCCAATATGGGTTAAAAGCATTAAGAAGGATGAGTATTTTGAGAAGGTTAAAATGTTTTTATATACATTATCATTAGGTGCTTCAAACAAGGAAATGCAGGAAATATTTCAATATTCTAGAGAAACTGTTAGTAGATATTTTAATAAAGTTCTATGCATGATATGTTTGCTTGTAATAGATATCATTAAACCCAATGATCCTAAATTTTAAAACACACCATAGAAAATTGCAAATAATCTGAGATATATGCCTCATTTCAAGGTAACAATATCATAGTTTTTTTATATGTAGTTATGTGGATTACGAATTTTGATAATTTTAGATTATATCTTATTTCACTTGTTATTATTCATTTTAGTTTTTTGTTCTAGAATTGTGTAAAAGCCATTGATGTCATGCATGTGTGGACATGTGTTTCTCTATAAAATTAAATATCATTTATCGATAGAAAAGGATGTACCTACACAAAATGTTATGGTTGCATGTGACTTTGATATGCAATTCACTTTTGTTTGGGTTAGATGAGAGGGTAGTGTACATGACACAAATATTTTTAGAGGCAATTTACAATCCTAACATTAAATTTCCTAAGCCACTAGAAGGTATTTTTTAGAGGCAATTTACAATCCTAACATCAAATTTCCTAAGCCACCAGAAGGTATTAACAAACCAAAATATATAATATTATTTATTTCAAGAAAAGGTAATTTATTATTATTATTGGTAATTAATTAATAAAGTTTTTAGATGTTATTATAAGGAAGTATTATTTAGTCGATTCTAAATATTTAAATGAATACGGACTTTTAGGTCCATATAGAGGTGAGAGGTATTATTTTTAAGAATTTTATAGGTGAGACCAACCATGAATATGGGAAGAAATTTTCAATCATGTTTATTTTTCAATACATTGTATCATTGAACATACATTTGGAATATGGAAAAAATGATGGAGAATTTTATAGAATACACTATCTTTTCCTTACAAAGCGCAAGTTTAAATTATAATGGCATTCATGGCTCTACAACTATATTAGAAGAAAGTCGTAAGAAAATTTTGTATTTAGAAAATTTGATCGTGATTTTAATTTTATTCTCGAGGGTTTTTTAACCGATATATTTTAACGATCACAAATCCATGAAAATCATGGGCCTTCGTGTATGAAATTTGCTTGGAATGAGATTGTTGCAAATTTAATGAGATAATAAAAAAAGTGTTATAATTTATGTGGTATCTTTTAAAATTTAATGTTAATGAAAAACAAATTAATGCAGTTAAAAATAATTACAAGTTCTTTTTTATAATATATCTAAAACAAATTTTGATCAAAGTTTTTATTAAACACATATTTAAAACAAATTAATTACAACTAAATATATTTTTTAATTTATTTTTAAAAAAATTACAACTATAAAAATTATTTAAAAACCAAACATACTTTAAACAGTATTGAAAAAGAAGTAGAGAGAGAAAAAACATAAAAGAGAATCTGCCTGTTAAGAAATAAATAAATAAATAAAACCAACAACGAAAGCGCCATCTCTCTCTCTCTGCGTCTCTCTCTCTTAATAACAAAAGAAAACAAGAAAGAAAGAAATCAAACAGTAAGAGAAAAGGAAAAAAAATGTCAAACAACGAAGAGCTTGTAGAGGAAATAATCACAACAAATGGGGATTCGTTCGAAAAGGTGAAACAGAGGCTGAAGGACCGATCTAAGGTAACATTCAAATCTCTGTTTTTCTTGTTGGCTTTAGTGATTCTGATTATTTTGACGACCTGGGCATGCTTTCCTTTTGTTGTAGAAAATGGCTCAAACAAAGGAGATGCTGTCAAAACAAGCGAACCAAACCAAACAGATCTTGTCTAAACAGGCTGTTAAGATTGCCAAACAAGCCGAGGAACATGAAAGGTTTATTAATAAGGTTAGCCCTTTTGTTTTTGCTTTGTTTTATTCATTTAATGATTGGTTTTTGGTTGAAACATGAAAATTTTGTTTTTTGAATTCGTATAAACATTGGCTGGTCTTTCTATCTATCTATCTATCTATATATATATATATATTTTTTTTTTCTTTTGCTGTTATATGAGCATCTTAGCAACAAAAGTTATGGACTTGATTTGCCTTTTGTTTTGTAGGTGACTTATCTTCTCGGTGTTCTCGGGTTCGGGGGTTTTTGCTTCCTTTTGGGAGCGAGTGAGTAACAATATACATTTTAATTGATGGAATTTGTAACTGTCAACCGTTTTTAAGAATTCCTTTGTTGATTTGTTTGTTAAATGTTCAGGGCCACAAGATATCCCTTATGTGTATTGTTTCTTCTATTTCACATTTGTTCCTCTTCGGTGGATATACTATCGGTTCAAGAAATGGCACTATTATCTTCTGGTATGCTGTTCTTTTGACTCTTTTTTTTTTTTTTTAACTTCTCATAGGTACATGAACCTCTATATTTAAAATTTTTCCGGGGTATACATCAAGAAGGTCTTTTTTAGGGAGCCATATGTTCAGTCATGTCTTTGCTATGGTGACCTAGAGCTTATGAAGACATGTTTGAGGAACTAGACGATGGATAGAGTAGAATGGTGTCACAGAATTTGTACAGAACCCTGTATAGCTGGGACTATAGGATTGTTAAGATTTTAAGGAATTAACATGACATAAGATGCCATCAATTCAAGGGCCCTTTTAAAGTATGCCAATAGAAATGCTTCTGAAGTAGCATGATTTGCAAAGCTTTCAAAAAATTGAGATATCTGGTCACTAAATGCTTTGCTTTTAAGTTTTATTTACTTACTAGTCAGTGCTTGGTTGTCTAGAACATCAATGACTAATTGACTTTAGTGTTTTGGTTTCAGGATTTTTGCTATTATGCCAATACGATCTTCTTGGTCGACCTTCTTCTATATCCAAAGAACGAAAAACTTTTCATGGTTTGCTTCTCATTTGCTGAAGTAAGTAAATATGCTTGTGGCAACTCAACCTTTTAATTGATGAATGCTTCATTTTATCCTCTTCTCACTCATTTAAATGTTGTAGGGACCATTGGCATGGGCATTGATTGTTTGGCGTTGTAGCTTGGTTTTTAGTTCTGCTGACAAACTTGTTAGTGTCCTAATACATCTTCTACCTGGTGAGATGGTCCTTCTTCTCTCTGGGTTGCCTTGTATAGGACACCCCTTATTCCCAATATAGTGAAACCATGCATGTATTCCTATTTTACATAAGCTGCTGATCTCTGCGTTCATACTAATTTTGAGGTAAACCAGCTTTTCAAGAAACTTCGAATTTGCTTTCTTATTCATAAACTTAAATCCTGTGTGTCCTGCTGTTCAATTCGTTTTAGAGCAAACTTACAGTTATTTTCAGGTATTACTTCATTGTTTGGTTTTGCTAACTTGAGTGTTGACTGTGTATTTAAAGTCAAATCAGTATGTAGCATGTCTTAATCATATCACACTAAATAACTGGTGATGAGGGTTCTTAGAGGATAAAAAAGTTGTCTATTGTAATTGGACATGGGGCCATTAAACCTGCGAACACTGAGAAAATGTCTCCATAAGAGAACCTATATATGTAAGTTACCTAAACAAATCAGACTTGTGCCACAACTGTTTATGTCTGAATTTGCTAAAAATTGAAAGTAAATCTGGACTCTGCACAAAGAAGGATTGTTCATCCTACTTCTGAGTTCTAATGTATTTGTGATTATTAACTTTCCAAGATTTTTCTGCCTCTATTTGTTTTGAACTCTCCTCTAGTCAAATTTTGAATCCAATTTCTACCATTAAATCTACCCTTTTTACAACTTCAAAGACCAAATTCTGCATATATTTTCATAACAGAAAACCATCTCTCTCCCATTATCCAGTGTACTGCTGCATTTGAAAATCCCGTTGTTAATCTATTTGGTTTCTAAGTGTTCTTTAATTAAGAATTCTCTATGTTATCTAATTTTAATGCCTGCTGCTCCGAGAACATGTAAGGATGACAATTCCAAACTGGAAGCGAATGGAGTGACAATTTTGATACTTAAGAGTGTCCAAAAAGCCCTGCAAGTTGTATTATGCTATGTGACTTGGTTTATAGATTAAGAAACAACTAAACTAATTATCTGATGGATCCATGTGCTCTGTTATTGGCTCAACATAGGAAATGATTTACAAAAAATTCTAGCCTGTACAAAGTTTTGAAACCGATGCCCCTCAATCTATTGATAAATCTAATGAAAAAAAGAAATTTCAAGCTCTCAACAGCTGTTATTTTTTCCTGGAAACCAACAAGGAGTGGCCAATGGAGCCCTTTTAAATGAAGGGCCAAGTTAATGTTTTTTGGTCAATCATTAGTAACTCCAGAATTTATGAGCTGTTTTCCTTTCAGGGTTAGTTTTCTTTACTATTCGGTGGTGGAATCCTGCAACCTTTGAAGCCATGCATCCAAAAGAAACTTCCCGCAGAATCTCATGGCCATATGGAGTGGAAGACAAATCCTACCTTTTGACATGGTTGTTCTGGGTGCCCTTGTTTGCTTATACCCTGTGGCAGGCTCTTTATTTCCTTATCGTCAATGTCCTACGGAGGCAGAGGCTATTAAGAGATCCTGAAGTCATGACTTCTTACAGGTTCTGAGTTCTCTGTGAACATGGATATGTGCACATGGTCTAACTATATGCATTATCTTTTACCATGCGTATAATTATAACTTGTTAGCTTGAAAAACTTTTCTCCTAATAGCTGTTTTGTCTGTCAGGGAGCTCTCAAAAAAAGCCCAGAAAGCAAATAATATATGGTGGCAATTGAGTGGTTTGCTTGGGGACCAGAATCGTCTGCTGATGTACATTCTGTTGCAAGCAATATTTACTGTGGCAACCATGGCACTCACAGTTCCCATCTTTTTATCCTATGAATTGCATGTGGCCTTCCAAATACTCAAGGTTTCAGCAGCTGCATGGAATGGAGGAAGCTTTCTGCTAGAGGTAATGCCTAAGCAGGTGATTCTCAAAGAGAAGAAGAAATCAGAAATGCAGCCAGCATCTACTCAGCATGACCAATCATCAGTTTTGGTCGAAAATGCAATGAACACAGAAATCTCCGCTGGGTGAACGGGTCCTGACGGATATGAATCCATGATTTATAGAATGTTAAAGGACTTGTCATATGGAGTGAAACTCATTTTGCCTGCCAAGAAATTAGCTTGTAATAGTTAAAATTGTTTACTGATAAATCGGCAATAATTCTCTTGTATATGTGGTCTTCTTATAACGTAGATTTAGTCGAGGGTATCAAGATTTCATATATTTTTCCCTTCTTTTCTATTTGTAAATATGCCAAATCGAAATTTTGATTCTACTGCTCGGATGTGGTCTTCTTATAACGGAGATTTAGCTATTTTTTTATGGTGCTTTAAATTTTATTTTTTTAATTTTTTTTTTTTAAAGAAATTTAAAATTATTTTTTAATATTTTAATGTGTTGATATTAAAAATAATTTTTAAAAATAAAAAATTATTTTAATATATTTTTATGGAAAAAATACTTTTAAACATAATTCTCATGAGCTCTTGCACCTTTTTAGTTAAGGGTATCCGGATTTCATATTTTTCTTTATTTCTTTTTTTTTTTTTTTTCTATTTGTACATATTCCTAACTGAAATTTCTATCCTACTTAGATTGAATTTGAAAAACAATAGATTAATTCATTTTTAAAAGT